ATGTTAAAGTGCACTAGAGACCCTTTAGTGCACACCAGCTGGGCCTGCAGAGACCAATCAATGCACAACATCTTAGCATGCCGTAGAACTTGCATCCCCTTAGTTCTACATGCCCTGCCATGTAGATGAGCCCTGAGTCTACATTTCTCAGGTTCTCCATAGTTACCACTGTAGAGTTGTACTATTAGGAAACTGCCAGGCATACCTATACTACTATTCTATTTACTATATTAGGCTATGAACGTCAGGGGTGAGAATCTCACCCCTGGGCTGTTCCCTTAATGCTAGGTAGAAGAGCAGGAGTGATGTAAATGGGCTGTAGAAGTAAAATGGGGATAATGATACTGCCCTCCTTTGCAAAGTGCTATATAAGAGCTAGGTATTATTGATTATTATTGAAATCCTTGATTCCGGCTGAGGGAGGATTTCCCTTGCAGAAGAGGGCCATAAAATTACTTTCTGTGAACCCCCTTCAAAATCCTGGTGTGAGGGCAGGGCTGCAGTACTGCTGAGATGCCATCAGCCTGGGGAGGATTCTGTAACTTGGCCAGGTTTCTATGAATGGCTAAATTACACAGTGGACCTCTCCAGACTCTGGAGGATGGGAAGGGTGCAAAAGTGGTTTAAAGCCCTCTTAGCCCCCCCCCCAGGACTCCAAGAGGGAACTGTTTTTTGTTTGGCATTCGCTGAAGCATGACAATTGTCCTCTTCTTTAAACCCTGGTTCACTTTTTAACATTTTTTAAAACAAATATTTTAGTATGAAATCAACCAAAAATGAGAACTTTAACTGCTATGCTAGTCAGCTAAATGGTTAATGTAGAAAAAATAACCCCCCACCAAGCACACAATGACCAGCACTGTAAAGGCATTGGGTATCCCCCTCCTGACCACAGGGAGGCATAAACATGCAAACACTGCATAAGTCTTGGTAAGATATCACTGATATGGAACAAATATTAACGTTTCAAAGACTCACAAGAAACTCTTGTTTTAAAAATGTAATTTAATCCATTAATTCTACAGCAGTCATCATACACATCAGCACAATACTTAAGTACATTGGACAGGTATCCAAGAAAGATGCAATTACCTAGCAATATTCTTTTGTTAAAAAAGAAAAAAGAAACAAACTTCTAAAGATGTAACAGGAAAAATATTGGTTACAATGAACAGCAGGTTAATTGACTAAACATGTCACTACTTTTCATTATCAAGTTAAAGGCACTTATCATGTTAAACTCCAATTTGTCTAGGCTTCCTGTCTCAAGTGCCCTGAAAGCTAGAGAGGACCGAAGGCCAGATTCTGATCTCTCCTCCCTTGCTGTAAAGACAGCATAACTCCATAGAAACTAGGGTATGTCTGAGATCAGAAAATGGCCCTTAATATGCAGGCGGTGTTATAACTCTTTAGTGTCCCACAAGCCATTTGGCTAGAAGCAAATGTATCTTGCCACAACTGTTGTCTGCTCTGACAGCACTGGCAAAGGTTTCCTGGCATTTGGACTGTATGGTCATGGCCCAGTTCTCCTCTCACTTGTGTCTGTTTGGCACTGATGTAATGGCATTGATCTCAATGGCATTATCCCAGATTTATACCAGAGAAAATGAGAAGAGAATCAGGCCCTAGCTCGCTGGATCATAAATATGAGCCAACTGCTGCACTCAGTTGCTTATATACCATTGGGCCTGGGACTGGTGAGTCTTTGCTTGCCTGAAACAATTCATTATTCCTCATTCATGATGGGCCTATTGCTCACCTCTGTCCCAATTATTTCACAGCAATGAACCAAAACAAATAAAATGGAGCAGATGCCTGCATGCTTGGCCATGCTGTGCTGTTAAATGAATGGCTGTTGTGCAGAGCTGTACAAGTTAAATTATCTATTGCAGTCCTGATTGCTATGCTGGACCACATAGTTGGAGGAAAGCTCTTTAGATGTTTTCCAAATCCTCCCCTTGGATTCATGAGTGGTATGGATTGTGTGTATTTAATGGGAGCTACATGCAGGCAAGCATATGAGGGCTGAATTTGTCCCTTTTCTGTAGTCAAGGGGGATTTTCTAAGTGAGCATTGAGCAAAAAAATAACTCAGATCTGGCTGCCCCTTCTTTTAAAAACCTGCAGAGGGAACTGAGGTGTGTGGGGGAAATGTGGGAAACATCACAAAGGCTACCTTGCACTTTCCCAAGATTATCGGGTTTAGGAGATGGGGGCAGGATTTGTTGACGAGCAGAATAAATGGACTTTGGGGATGGTGACTGACTGCCAGAATCTGTGATCTCTAGTGGCTGACTGGATGTCATAGCCAACCATGCAAAGGCCTTTCCGTAACTTCAGGTTTAGGGCCCCCTCATCCTGTCCCTAGATAGCTTGGCTTCATATGCTGACAGACACAGCTATACTTTCATATCCTTGGAACAACCATTGTAGGAGATTTGCAGCCTTTGGCTGTATTAACTTTTGAGCCCATTTCCTGCCATTTGGTGGGAGAGGGTGGAGACTATATGCATCTGGCACTCCCACCATCTACATGAATTCCTGTTTCCACAAAGGGCTTTTTGTGCAGTCCAAAGATTGTGCCATGTCTGCAGCTGTCTTCCCCATGCCCCAATTTTGGGTGAGAATGGGGAGAGGGACTCATTCAGACAGGAAGATCTGAGCCTGAACACAGAGCACAGGACTTTGCACCTTTGAAAGCCAAGAAGACTGATGCTCTTTGCAGGGATGGGGTGAATCAGAGATGGAAAAGGCCTATTGACTTATCTATTCATTCACGTGCAAGGGCCAGGATTGCTTCTAATAATGTATTTTCTAGTGCTTCATGGAAAAACTGTCCCTTTATGGAGCATTCGGGTCTAACCACTGTTGTGGGGGTTCACTGTTCTCTAACAAATGGATTGAACAGCAAATCACTTTTAGGGATGTATTCTTGCTTTGATACAGGCTTGCGACTCCAATTATTTTTAATAGGATTTGTGTCTGCATATTGCAGGAAGGAATCCCATTAAATCTTCAGTGCTACACTTAGCAGGAAATTAATTCTTTATAATAAATCAATACATAATGACTGAAGTACAGCTTCTCATAGAACACAGCAGCACTTGCAGTCGAACTGCCAGACATGTTCAGTTGGGCCTTGAGGTTCATCCAATGACACTATTCATGAGACATATTTGTCTCCATTGCACATATTCATTTATTATAGCATCTCAGTAGTGTTATATAATCTGAAAGTCTTTATCAGAGATGAAGGTATGTGAGAGAGGTGTTACTATTGTAACTTTATTACTGTATGTTATCACACACACCTAGAGCATACCAGGATTTTATTTAGCTTAGCCCAAAGTTTTCAAATTTGGGGCCTCCAAGACAAGCACTTTAAATCCACAGTTAGGCACACAAATAAATGGCCCGGTTTTCAGAAATACTGAGCATCAACAACTCCAATGTCTTTAACAGAAACTGCAGGTGCTCAACACATCTGAAAAACAGGCCACATAAATAAGTATCTACATTTATGTGCCTAATTCTGGTCTCCAAATTTGACAGTTTTGGCCTTAGAGCACTGAAGACATGGAACTTTACAAAGCAGAAATATAAAAATAGTTGAAACCACAGTGTGCACACAATGTCAAGACAACCAAGAGATACAGGGAAATAACATCCAAAATATTTTTTCTGCATAGATTCAAAGAAAGCAAAATAAATAATCTTAATTTTACATTCCTGTTTTATATGTATTCTATAGGCTAGCTCAGCGGTTCTCAAACTCTGTACATGCTATAGATCACTTCTTAAAATAGAGATGAGCTCTTTCCTGGACACTTCCCCCTTCCAATTTCCTAATCACAATTCAAGTTTTGGTTACTTGCAAAACTAGTCTCAGAACAGTATTAAGGAGACAGAATGAAAATCAACTTCTTAGTACACTCCCACATTTTTTTCATCTGCTATTTACTCCCTATCTCTGGATGCACAGAAGGAGTTTACAGGTGGGATTTTCAAAAGCACACAGTGCTAGCCTAACTCTGCTCCACTGAAGTTAGCTGAAGGGAGCAGTTATATCAACACTGAGCACTTCTGAAAATCCCACCCTCTGCTTATTAGTACTAAATCTCTCCTTGGTGCCTTTCCGCACCAGCTTTCATCTGCACTTTGGTCATATCCGCCTGTGTGTTTGCTCTCTCTCCACTTTAGGTGTCATCTCTATATTTGAACCCAGAGCAACACCAGACAGAGAGCATCCTGATGCAGCCATGTGTGCTTCATTTATTCAGTTTAAAAATAAAGTCCTGGACAGGACTACAAACGGCAGGGAACATCACCAACTGGAGACTGACAGATGCTTCACTAGCATGACATGCCTCCCGAAGGGATCCGCAGATTAGTTTGAGAACCCCTGTGCTAACTTCAACTTAGTACAAAACTGTAGTGGCAAATTCAGAGCAATGACATTCTTCCTGCCAGACTTAAAGGAAAAACTGAACACTTCCCTCTTGAAAAGCTGCAGAGCAGCAAATATTTTCTAATAATAAAATACAGAATGTACATCAGTGCTAGAAAGTGTGATCCATCTACTCCCTACTAAAGCAAATGCCATCTGCCACGTGAAGACTACACCTATGCCACAAAGAGAAGTTTCTTACAACATAGTAGGGCTCTGTTAAAAAAAAAAAAACCTACCAAACTCCGCAGCGTTTTTGTGCCTCATTTATGGACTGCATAATTGCTAAGATAAAACAAATGTAAATAAATAATTTTATAAAATACATTCTTCATGTGAGGTGAAATTTTAATGTAACATATGGCTCTGTTAAAGCATCCTGAATAATTCGTTAGCCATAACCTTTCTCAAGATAAATGTGTCACACCTCCGAGAAAAAATAATTAAAGCAAAATGTAAAAGATAACCTGTTTTGCATAATGTATATTTCAGCTGCTGGCTACAGCTATCTAGTACTAGGTAAAGATAGATTGACCTGGTATGTCAGCATGAAATCAAAGACTGAAGAGAATTATTTGTTTATCTAGTCAGTCCTTGGTGCCCAGACAGATGTAGCAGATACTAAACTGATGAAGACACTGTGATCTCAGCCAAAAGGTAGCGAAGTGGTTAATTACCATACATGATACATTTAGTGTGTTAAGATTTTGACACAGTTATATTTTTGACAGTTGGTGAGTTATTTGAATATTTAGCCACAGACATTAAAATATAAAAACATCTACTGTATGTGCCTGCTGATTCTAACAACAGTCATGATATTAGGATTCCCAGTGAATATTATATATAAGAATATCCTAAGTCCATGTCACATATACTTTATGAACTTACAAATAAATAGATCTACAAAAATCTGGTCTTGTCTCCTTTCTCTCTCTCTCTCTCTCTCTTTTTTTTTTTTTTTGTAAAATGCAATATGCAAAAAAGCTCTTTCTGGTGATGAGAAATTAGGAATTGCACATTTAGTAGGATGAATATATTACTGGTGCAACACCTAAGTCAACCACTAGTCAACAAAAAGACATCATATGAAACAAAATTTTAAATTTTATTTTACATATTTATACATAAAACTTTCAAGGTAACTCTCTGAATCCAACTGAATGTTAATAGCACATCTAAAAATGAATGTCAGGTAGTCAACATTCACAAAATGTTGAAAACTGATTAAAATATACATATTACTGAACGCTACAATTTCACTATGAGGCAGGCATTTTTTTTTCTTTTTACTTGTATAGCACCGTCAATTACAGTTTCTTTGTTTAAAACTACAGTGAAGAATAAAAAGTAGTCAATGGTAAAATACTGTTCAACTTAAAATCTCTAAACAAACAAAAATAAAGGTAAACTACCTTTTCTTCTTATCCATGGTTTGTAATGTTATAAGTACTGTACATTTTTGTAATAATATTATTAAAATGCCTGATATTTAGTGGCACAAATAAAAAATTAAAATAAATTAAGGAGCAGAGGCCAATCACTGGACATAAAGCTTCAGACATTATCAATGACTAACACTCATTTTCTTGTGCGCCACCTTGAGCATCAGCATTTGTACAACCACAGAAGCAAAATAAATGCTAGCGTATTCTGATGGCTTCTTGCTTTATTTTGCTGGCATTTTCTCTGCCATGTGCTTCTGCTGACTTTCAGCATGTCTGGGGAGGGGAAAAAATGCTATGTTACTCACTACCAAGAAAAATTAAATGGACTGTTCAACATCTTAAAACATACTTCGACCTAAATAAGGCTTCCCCAATGAAGAGAATATTAAGCAATCAAATATTACTGTGTTCAGATTAGCTTAGTGTAACATTTCTTTCATGACCTTGGTCTGGTTACCTAGTGTACAATACATGCTGAGAGGAAAGAAACATTCCTTAGACTAAAGGAAACTCCTGGGATCATATAACCTGCAAACATTTTCCCTGCTCCCACCCAAGGAATTAAATTTGTTAGTTTCAGAACAATTAGACGGTGTAACAAGCTGAGGAATTAGCCAGGAATTAGGGTTGACACTGCATCCCTTGCCCTTTGGTGACATGACTATACAGAGTAATATTACAAAGTGTAACAACGAAATACACTGATATAGAAGATGTCAAAGACACTTCTAAACGTTTAATGCTTTCAGAATGCTGAAATGTTTTTGGAAGCACAGAAAAAGAAAAGATGGCACATCAAGCAAACACTGCAAGGTATACAATGATAGTAAGTGGTGTAAATCATTGTGCAAATTCATATTCCTGCAGTACCCATCACAACAAAAAGTACATAACATCCTAAATACTATTTGACAACACAAGCAGCACTCATTACTAGGAACTCTCAGAACTGATTACTGTCCAACCACTACAACTAGATAATCCACTGCTGTTTGTCCCAAAGTACTGGGTAGTAGAGGCGTTAGCTGCTCTACTTCAGGGTGTGGTCAGCCCTGCTCATGTGAGCCGAGTGCGACTGGCTCCAGCTGGTAGCACCCAACAAGGGCCCCTGCTCAAGTAATGAGCAAAGATCAACAACAGGGTGGAGCTGTGGCGGGACCAGGGGGGCGCGAGCACCCACCGGCACCGGGGAAAGTTGGTGCCTATGGCCATCATTGTACTAGGGTAAAGGATCTCACACTGAGTGAAGGAACTACAGGTTGATTTCATTGCTATCAGTCCCTGGAAAGGTCTGCACTTGTGTTCTGCTTGGTAGGATACAGCCGCTCCTTAACAGACGACATTGCTGTGGACAATCAGATTTCACTAATGAGTGGTCGACAACAGATGCTGTCCTTACTCCCTGGCTTCTGGCTGAGCTGCACAGAGAATTTAACTGCCTGCTTCATGTGGCATATATAGACATCAAAGCAGCTTTTGATTCAGCTGACAGATCAGCACTTCGGTTTGCACCAAAAGGTCTTGGCACACCAGATATTCTGATAAATCTGGTGCACGATCTTCACAACAGTACCAATGCGAGTGTGTGTGCTGGTCAACTGCTTTCACTGGATTTCTACACAACCTCAGACATGCAGTAGGGATGTATTCTCACCCCAGCAGTATTCTGTTGCGCTATCAAATGGATATTAGGACTTGCAACTCCATGTCGGAATCAAGGTTGGTCAAAAAGTGTTCACCGACCAAGACTATGTTGATGACACTGCCTTGCTTGTGGACAAGCCAGAGACTTTCAGCCCTGCTTTTCAAAGTTTCTAAGATGCCGCCCCCATTATGGGGTTGTACATCTCATGGCAGAAGACCAAGGTCCAGAACCTGAGCTGGGTCACCAGAACCCCGATGCAGGTGGGTTGTACAATGCCATCAGCCGTGGTCATGGTGGCTCGCGTAACGCTTCTCAGAAGACCATGCGTGTTTGATGATAATGGGGAGAAGTGCCTACAGGCCAACTCCAACCCCTCTTTCCTGTAAGTTCACCCAGGCAGGTGTGCTACTGCTGACTTGGAGGGGGCCTGGATGAATGCGAGGATGCCCAAATTGTACAGCTGAGAACCCTGCTCTGAATGAAGTCACTGTAAGACAGCATGCAGGGGCAGATCAAGTATCTATTACTGTGCAAATCCTTCAACCCCAAAAGGTGGGACTATGTAATAGACCAAGGCCAGGCAGAGAATTTTCACTTAAATGGGAAATTCTCTGGCACATAACAGTTATTTTGCATAAAGCTATGTTACAATGCACTTGGGATCTCTAACAGATATTAACTTGTGTATGCCCGAAAGGAGACTTTATAATTATTCAGCTCCACTCCTAACCCCAAATCCTCTTCAGTTTTACTGTTATTCTGTTAATTACCACATAGTGACTGTGCACATGCAAGATTTCTAAATGAGGAGGCTTTACTTGTGATTGCAACAGAGGTGAGCCAGGACTGCAATATTTAAAAGCACCCATAGGTGGCATGTAAACTTCTTTGAATGATGGTATTTGACTTAACTACACTCCAATTACCATATCATTTATGACAAAACTTTTCCTAGGTAGTGGCTAACTCTATTTCAACCAAATATAATGCAACAAAAAGGTCTTTAAAAAAATAATAAAAATCAAACATTACACACCATTTCCCCCCCTTTTCCATATAATCAAAATGGAGTTCTGAAAATATCATTTTAAAATAGACTTTGTTTAAAAATGTTTATTCAGAAAGATTTTTAAAAACTATTACAAATTCTTTTGGCGTCCCATACAATTTTACATGGGAAGTTTAATGCTGCAGTGCTGAAAATACTAGCTCTGACCAATATGCACTGGAAATAATCCAACATCTTTTTAATCTTTATTATGCAGAAACCTTTAAAATCTGCCATAATATTATACAAGTTAAAAATATCCCTTAAATCATGTCAGAGACGATGGATTAAGTGGATTTAATGCCTGTATTCTGGCATGTTTTCTCTCAATCCACTGCTTAATATTGTTCTATCTCCTTGCAATCCTTCTGGTTGCAAAGTCTACCTCATCTAGCCTGCACCACACAAATCCTATGGGGATTTTTTTTTTTAAACCTTTTTGATGCGTTGGGATTAAAACTTTCTGGCAGCACCAAAGCAGATTTATTCTTAACTAGCTTCTATTCTCTACCTTTCAGAAATGACAGTGCCAGGCCTTGGTAAAGCAAAACATCAAAATTTTGGTCTCTAGGGATATGGAGTTGGACAGCTAGTTGATATTTCTCAGCAGAAAGTTGCTGAAAATATTTAGGATTGCCTGTGGCTGAATTATTTTGCTATTGTTGCAGAAATGGCCTTAAAGTACTGTAACCCTGATGGAGACCACTGTGTAAAAAGATATCCAAAGAGTTAAAAGTCATGCCCAGAGGAAGATATAGTCCCTGGCTCCAGCCTGCTGCTCTTCCCCAAAGTTAACCCAGGTTTCCCATTTCCTAGCGGTAATCATCTCTGAAGTTCCACTTATTTTACTGTGAGTGCTTTTAGAGAAAATTGTGGCTTAGTTTTAGACATGAATTGGGTCCAAGAATAGGAACCTTCATCTGGTGAATGATATATCATTAAGTAACAGCAATTACTTAAATATTATTCTGTATTGATTAGTAATTGATTTTTTTTATTGCTCAAAGCACCCACTTACCTTGGCAGTGGGTTCTAATATAGATTTCTAAATAAAACACACAAAATAATGGTATGACTTGCAATAAAAAATATGTAATGGAGGATCAAAGTGGTAACTTCTCAAGTTTTTAATGCTTACACTGGTGATCCAATATGAATTTTGCAAAAGGAAGATTTGTTCATTTCAGCCGCTCTGTGACAGCTTACAGATACATGGTTTACCCATCACCACCAACTTTTAGGCCTGGCATTCTACCCAAATATTGCTCCAAAACATAGAAAGTATATTAAACTTGGAATATTCTTAGCAGCAGTGTTTAACAGAAGACTTTACTAACCTGGTCAAGTCTTCAATGTCTACCAGCATTGCATCCTGCTCTGTGTGCAATTCATCTCGAATAAGAAGCAGCTGCACCAATTCTTCATTCAAGCCTGGTACCAGAGACAAGGAGTTTATAATTTAATTCAATCATAGATTAATGATTAGGGAATCTGTTAGCTCATCTTAAATCATTATGTTGCATATAGTAAACAACTGCTTACATGGAGAAGCAGAAAGATTCCCTACGTAAGGTTTTGGTCTCCATAAAAGGAAGCATATCGCAAAATGGAATAGAAGTAGTGATTATCTATATTACTAATAGAGCTATAACAAATACGCACTTTTAACTACTATGGGTCTCATGAAATAACTGAATGTAGCATCCTCTCAACTCAAACTTTAGGTTTTAGCTAATCCATCTACTTAAAGACAGTTGGAAAAGCCTTTTGGTCAGAGTAGCCTCTACCCACTAAGAAAAAATAAATCACTCATTAGGAAAAAGTATGTGAAAAAATAACCTAAAGTAATCCCAGAAGATGATGTCTCTAGAGCATAACGAGCTTCCTGGAACTCTCCCCTTCTCAATGCTGCCATAACTGCAAGCCTGACACTGTTCTGTAGCCCAGAAAATCTGCATCCTAATCTGAACACAGACCTTTTCTGTTCAAAAAGAAGAATGGAAATGAAACTGTGTGAAGAAAAAGGGCAGTATTTCCAAACAGCTCAGAGAAATGAAAGAGCTGTACTTCAGTAAAAGAAATCAGTGGCAGATTTGTGGTAATGGCAGACATCTTGAATACTGCAACAGACTTTCTGACCTCTTGCAGCCTGTAAACAAAAACCTGTGGTTGATATCTACTTATAAGTTAAGGAATGTAGTGATTCTAAGCAAAAATACAGCCAACATGTGACGCAAGTGACGGTGGGTAACTATATAAATGTTACAGGATGTTTGTTCTGCTTTGCCTGGAATAAAATACATTGCAATTCAGAATGGAGTGCAGGTGGGTTCTTCCTTAATATAGCAAAATGATATGGTGAATCATTCTGGAGAGTGGTAGGGGACTACTGAGTTTCTGACTGACTGCTAGCTAATCCAGAAAACACCACAAAGGAAAGTGCGCTTGCTCCTTCGCGTGCACACACAAAATCTGCCTTTCAAGCTAGAAGCCACACACCACAATTCAACAGATAATGGTAAACAGAAAGGGACCTGGGTGGGGAGCAGTCAAGAACAAAAATGATGCCTGAATGAAATGTTCAGAATAAAAATCTAGTGATATAGGTTGTGGTTCTGTTAATGATTCACTGTCCCACTCAGAAACCGAAAATAACTGAATCACAGTAAAACTGATTTTTGATTGATTCTCTCCTTTATGTGCCATTCACAACATATGTTCTAAACAGCTTGACTGGTGTCCTAGAATATAAAACGAATATTCCAGTAGGGTTGCTCAAAAACAGCAGCCTCTGTTGCAGGACTTCAGGGAAAAATCATTTGTATCCCCAGCAGAGCACCATGACAGTAATTAACGAGCACAACAATCTAAGGAGCAGTACAGTGCCCAAAAAACATTTTTGACTTAGAGCCACCAGAATACCCTCATCCAAAATTAATTAATTCTTAACAATAGGAGGTGGACATCCCTTGGGAAAAACTCTGTATCTATCAGACAGCAAGGAGAGATTGGGGGAAGGGGGGACACATGACACTCTCTTCACACACAAATGTATGTGATGCATTTTTATTATTTATTATTAATGCATTAAAACATAGAATCATAGGACTGGAAGGGACCTCGAGAGGTCATTTAGTCCAGTCCTCTGCACTCATGGCAGGACTAAGTATTATCTAGACCATTCCTGACAGGTGTTTCTCTAAACTGCTCTTAAAAATCTCCAATGATGGAGATTCCACAATCTCCCTAGGCAATTTATTCCAGTGTTTAACCACCCTGACAGTTAGGAAGTTTTTCCTAATGTCCAACCTAGACCTCCCTTGGTGCAATTTAAGCCCATTGCTTTTTGTCCTGTCCTCAGAGGTTAAGAAGAACAATTCTTCTCCCTCCTCCTTGTAACAACCTTTTATGTATTTGAAAACTGTTATCGTGTCCCCTCTCAGTCTTCTCTTTTCCAAACTAAACAAACCTAATTTTTTCAATCTTCCCTCATAGGTCATGTTTTCTAGACCTTTAATCATTTTTGTTGTTCTTCTCTGGACTTTCTCCAATTTGTCTACATCTTTCCTGAAATGTGGCACCCAGAATTCGACACAATACTCCAGTTGAGGCCTAATCAGTGCAGAGTAGAGCGGAAGAATTACTTCATGTCTTCCTTACAACACTCCTGCTAGTACATCCCAGAATGATGTTCGCTTTTTTTGCAACAGTGTTTCACTGTTGACTCATATTCAGCTTGTGGTCCACTATGACCCTCAGATCCCTTTCCACAGTACTCCTTCCTAGGCAGTCATTTCACATTTTGTATGTGTGCAACTGACTGTTCCTTCCTAAGTGGAGTACTTTGCATTTCCCTTATTGAATTTCATCCTGTTTACTTCAGACCATTTCTCCAGTTTGTCCAGATCATTTTGAATTTTAATCCTGTCCTGCAAAGCACTTGCAGCCCCCTCCCAGCTTGGTATCGTCCGCAAACTTTATAAGTGTACTCTGTATTCCAGTATCTAAATCATTGATGAAGATATTGAACAGAACTGGACCCAGAACTGATCCCTGCGGGACTCCACTCGTTATGCCCTTCCAGCATGACTGTGACGTTGCAACATAACAACAGGGGAGAGAAAAAGACATTTTGAGGAATAGAAAAATATGTCTGTGATGGGGTGCACTTGCCATGCACTGGCCAAGAAGGGGTTAGCCCCACACGCTGGGTGGAGGAAGCCCTGCCCCCTCGCCCCTGCTGGGCATGCTCCAATTGGAGCAACAGTATAAAAGGGAGCAACTCAGCTCAGGCTGGGCTTACTGTTGAGGAGGGAGGATGCACCTTGCAGGCTCCAGCCCGGGAGCTGTGGAAGCCCCAGACCGTGGAAGCCAGAGGCGCCGAGACCCAGGCGGACACCCAAGCACCTGCGGAAGCCCAAGGAAGGATGGAGCTGCACAGGTAGAGGAGCCCAAAAATCCTGGAGATGCCCGGACCACTGCATAAGGGAAAGGGTAAGAAGTAGCCCAGGGGGACTAGTCATTGTGCTGGGTGGCATCAGCATGTTTCGTTAGGCTTCCCACTGACTCGATGGGGAGCACACTTGTCACTCCCAGGCTCCATCCCGTCCCTACTGGCCACTGGGCCACACAGCCCTGTGGAGGAGGGCAGCCTTATTGATTCTGGCCACTACGCTGCACAGTCCAGTGGAGGAAGGCAGTCTTATTGACCTGGGCCACTCAGTCATACTGCCCTGAGGGAAGGGCAGACATATTGACTTTGGCTGCCAGGCCACTTAGCCCCACGAGGAAAGACGACCATATAGACTTTGGCCATTAGGCTATACTGCCCTGAGGATAAGGTAGTCAAGTGGCCTTAACCATGGGGCTACAACGCCCAGCCCTTGTCCCGTCCCAAAGAGGGAGGGGATGCACTTGCCCTGCAACAATGTCCATACAAAAAAATAAAAATTGGTAGTTTCTAAAGCTAGCTTTAATTAACTAGACTGAGAGTTGACAATGCCCCCTTAAGTCCTGGAGCAGTACTGCCTGAGGAGCAGTAATTGTTTTAGATATGATTTTTAAAAAGCCGGATTCTGTAAGGTGTTGAGAACCCACAAATGCAGGGAAGCCTGGTTTTCAGATCTTGCAGGAGCTGCTCAGCACTTTAGGATATTGGGCCTTGCAGGCTATTGGATATCTCTAAATAGATCAGAAGGGAACAAGGTTGGACATTAGGAAAAAGTTCCTAACTGTCAGGGTGGTTAAACACTGGAATAAATTGCCTAGGGAGGTTGTGGAATCTCCATCTCTGGAGATATTTAAGAGTAGGTTAGATAAATGTCTATCAGGGATGGTCTAGACAGTATTTGGTCCTGCCATGCGGGCAGGGGACTGGACTCGATGACCTCTCGAGGTCCCTTCCAGTCCTAGAATCTATGAATAAGAACTTACCGTATATACTCGATCATAAGCCGGTTCGTTTATAAGCCGACCCCTCAAGATGGATAAGTAAAATGGAAAATTTTTATGACCCGTTCATAAGCCGACCCTATAATTTAGGGGTCAGCAAACTTTGGCTCCCGGGCCTTCAGGATAAGCTGCTGGTGGGCTGAGATGGTTTGTTTACCTTGAGCGTCCGCAGGCACGGAGGTAAACCTAAGTAAACAAAGTGTCCCGGCGTGCCAGCTGCTTACCGTGATGAGCTGGGACAGCAACTGTTGGGGAAATTTTTTGGGGGGGCGGGAGAAGCTGGGGTCAGGGGAGTAACCCCTGTGGCTGTGTTAAAAACCGATGGCCCTGTGTCCCCGTTTTTCCTTGTTTGGTTTTCCCCCAAATCAGTAGGATTCTGCCCACTGATGCCTAGAACAGTCAGTGAAAGTTTGGAATTGATTGGATGCGGCATTTAAAAATTATCACATTACATACAGACAGCAGTGCTGGTGAGTTGAGTTTAAGGCCCACACAAGTTCGGCCAAATATGATTTTTCAAGTTAATACATCAAAATGAACACACAAGATTTACTTTCTTCCTATGGTAGCATACATATTGCACTTTTTCCCACACCGAGGGCCGGCTCCAGATTTTTGCCGCCCCAAGCAGCGAAGGGGGGGGGGAAGCCGCGATCGGCGGCATTTCGGCGGCTGCTCTACTGCGCCGCTTCATTCTTCGACGGCAATTCGGCAGCTGGTCCTTCCCTCCAAGAGGGACTGAGGACCTGCTGCCAAATTGTCGCTGAAGACCCGGACGTGCCGCCCCCTTCAATGGGCCGCCCCAAGCACCAGCTTGCTCCGCTGGTGCCTGGAGCCGGCCCTGCCCACACCTAAGTTAATGTACTATAGCTAATTTAAAGGAAAATACCAAAGAATTAAAACAAAAATCACTTACTTTCTATTTGTGAGTGGAGATCATTGACTATCACTTGTAGCTGCCCAATAGTCATATCTCTCAGGTCAGTGGGTTTTAAACTTCTTTTCATCAAGCATTCACTTATATGAGGCATATGTGGCAGCTAAAGATGGATTAAAAGCCTTTTAGGTTATTATTACTTCAAATGGTTTATATTTCTAAATAAAAATAATAAAAAATGTGTTGACATTCCAAGTACTACCCTCCCCTTTCCCCATCCCCTACCATGCACATGCTTTCATGTAGCCATAGAAAGCCCATTTACTGAGACTTCCAAAATGAAAACTTGTGATTAATGTTTAAGTCAACCTTTCAAAGGAAAGAACAAGGATGAATAAATCCTTTTATGAGAAACTGTCACAAAAATAATCATCCTCCCCGTAGTTATAACCTTCTAGCTTCATCGCTTCATTTCCCCCACAGATATCACTCCATAAATGACCCAATACAGTGACCCATCTTGACTCTGCAACTACTGATTGAAATTTCATACCTAAATCTCTTGCCTTGTATGCAGTTATACATGGTAACTGCACATCCCTTTGGCATATATGGATATTCCTAACTGAGCCATTTCTAAAACACTAAGAATCAAGCTTAAAACAAAGCGTTTAGCCACTGGACTGTATCTACATCATCACAATATAAACGTTGATGTGCCATTAAACTAGACAAGTGTCAACTTAAATAGAAACATTCTTGAGAAAAGTCATCTAAAAAGACAGCTGTTACCAATTACTGACAGTTTTAAATTAAGATACCATTTTAATTCTCAATCAGCCTTTATGTTTAACACAGGCAGACAGGATAGATGGATGAATGGTTAGCCTTAGTTTTTTGCTGCTCTTCAGAGAGTGATTTATACAATATAGAGTGGGAGAGATTTATTTGAAAACCATTTTAAGTCTGGGATTAATTTTTTCATATATTACATTCCTATATATGTTGGAAGAATGACTATTGAGTTAAGGTCTCATCTTTAAAATGTACGTTCTACTTTCAAGTACTTATTTTTTTGGTTTTCTTTTCATTTCTGCTTAGCAGAGTTTTGTTTCTGCTGCATTCTTTAATTACTAATCTGAACAGATTTGTGAATAGCGGTAGTAATGATTATATATTTATCTCTTAGTTTTCTCTCTAGATACACATTACACACACAGTTAAAAGATTAACAAAGGCTTATATAAAAAGTTAGTTCTAATTTACTGATAACGGGCAGATGCAAATTATCTCCTAAAATAACATTTTGAAAGGCTTAAATGTTATTAAAAATTATATGCATTTTATTTTTCAGCACATGCAGATATATTATTACATGTGAATAAATAGAACTTCACTCGTGGGTAGTTCCACTGACTGCAAAAACATCCTTTGAAGTACTGTATTGTCATGCCTTACTCCATTTCTGAATTTGAATATCTTTATTATTCGGTCAAATCTTCTAAAGCAGTGGTTCTCAACCTTTTTGAGATCAGGACCCATTTGTAAATGTTTATGGGCTGTGGTAACCCAGTAAATAGTCAGGAATGGAGGCCCTGGGGTGGTTTTGGTCAGGTCCTGCCCAGCACTTACCCCACAGTGGCAGGTCCTGTGCTGAGGGGCTGACTGGGCTTGGCTCTCTGCTCTGGGTGTTGCAACCTCTGGGGTTGCAGAGCCAGTCAGGTTTGGCACCGCCCCCCCGGACAAAACTTGTGTGAGTGGATTTGTCACCTGGCTCATGGGGTTGCAGTGCCACTCATTCAAATTTGGCCTACCAGGACTCCCACCATCATGAGGGCTGGGCCAAACCTGACTGGCGCTGGTACCCTAGAGGTTGCAATACACGGAGCAGGGAGGTGAGCCCAGCCAGCCCCATGGGACAAGAGCCACAGGTTGAGAAACCCTGTTCTAAAGTTGGTAATTTCCAGCTGAATAACCTCAGATAATTTTGGAACAACTAGGAAAGAGTTTCCTAAGAATCTCTTTCGCTCTCTCAAACGCACTTATTTATTATTACTTATAAACAAATAGATACACATATATGAACATACAACCTCTAACTTGTAAGACACAGTTTGGCTTCATTATTATAAAATATTAAGTATGGATCTGATCCTGCAAATGTTTACTAGCAGATATAGTGGTTGATCTAAATAAGACTACATGTGGCAGTAAGCACTGCACCCAATAAAATGTGTTTGCAAGATAGCACCTTAAAGCTAGATGACGTTTCATTGTATAGAATTTATTTTCCCTACTTTCTCGGACTGTAATGAGCACTAAAAATTGTTTTCAGTGTATTTTACTCTTTGTAAATAAAAAAATCCTTTGTTCATGTTGTTTTGCATATTTGGATGCACTAGTACAGAATTTGGATAACTGGAAAGAATTAGTTATTCTCAAGTGGTTAAGTATCCCAACAATAAAACAACAAATTAACAACATTTGGTGGTCATTGAATGCATACTGGCCTTTGGTTTGATACTCACAAGATCAGCTACGGGGGATTTTTTCCTGTTCTGCTTTTCCACCTCCACTTGCATTTTGGCCATTGGTTTTGCCATAGCCAAAGCCATTTTGGCTTCAGCTTGCAGTTTCTTTTGTCTAGTGAGAAAATCCATGTCATCTAGGGATTCGGATTCCTCTTCAGTAGTGTCTCTATCAGAGTAGGAGGAGCTTTGCTTGCTCTAGGAAAGTGCACACACATCAGTTGTAAGTGTGTAATAACGTTCACACTTTAAGATAGACAATATTGTAAGAAATTTTAGCTTTAAGCTTTAAAATTTTCATGTATGCAAGTGGTGTGATTTCTTCAGGGGAGATGGAGATAATTTAATTGTATTTATTTGCTCAACAAAATGATTTTTAAACATCAAAAACCATTTTTCAAGACAGGAACACTTAAGTGCTAATGGTAACTTGAGTTTTAGTTAGGGAGAGAAACCTGCTAGATCAGTGAGTGTTTGAAGGCATGGACTGAATCAAACTCTGGGAAATCCCCGGGAGGCCCTCGGGTATTGTTAATATACGGGGAAAGAAGGAATTGTGGCAGATCTGCTAATTTCCTTGTTACAATAATGTTCAGAAGGAAGGGGTGGTGAGAAGCTGATGATGCTCCATGCCATCCCCTTCCTTACTGTTACCAGCCCATAAAAGGAGGGAACTTATTCACATATCTAGCACATCTGAGCTACCTAGGAATATGCAGTTTGTTGTAGTCATGTTGGTCCCAGAATATTAGAGAGAATATGGGTGAGGTAATATCTTATATTGGATCTCTCACCAACATAAGTTGGTTCAATAAAAGATATTACCTCACCCACCTTGTCTCTCTATCTAGAAATAGTTTGCCAACTGCGGCCAGCAGTCAAAATATTTTTACAGATAATCAAGGACTGTTCTTAAGATAACAAGATGGTTATAAAAACTTAACAAGCTCCTTGTCTGCTTATATCATTGCCAGTTTATAACTTTTCCCAATCATAACTTAATTTATACCCATCTTAAATATATTAAGAATGGCACATGCATGTGCTAAAGAATTATTTTAAATGATAGAAGCTCATGTACATATTTGTGCTTTAAAATCTTTTTATTTCTTCAACAAGGCCTTTTGTGAAACTAGTTATCAGACCTACCATTGGAGACAAAGGTGTATCCAAGCTTGTTTCAGTCTTGCTGTCATCGGCATCGCTATCCTTGTCACTACCACTGTCATTTACAAAACAAATCTGCAGGTTCATCCCACTTTGTAGCCTGGAGGAGGAGGAAAGGGACAGGTGTTAGCATGCATACTCTCTCTCAACAACAAATCCAAAGTACTGTCACCAGCAATCACTGTTGCTTAACAAGATGTGCTAACATATTAGCAAATATAGGAGCTCTGACCTAAATCAACACTGAAGGTTTAACTGTCTCTATCAGCATATCCTTCTGAGAGCCAGACTTATTTCTAGCAGAAAAGAAAATGCTAGAGTGCCTTAAGCACAAGTTATTTAACTTTTAAAAAGAATGCCGTCAACTTGATTTTTTTTTCAATTTGTGTAAAAACAAAAAGTGTTTCCAATAGGTTTTTTTTTTTTAAGGGAAGTATTCATTGTGTCTAAAAACAAACATTCCCCATGGTATTATTTGAAACTTAAAGGTTGCAGCACTAAACTTGAAAGTGAAATTGACTATAAACAAAAGTGTAATTGACTTAACTGATTCTCAGTGTTGAAGAGGAGAAAAATATAAAGAGTAAACGAGGCGAGTAAACGAGGAGTATAGTGTCAAGTAAAATTCAGTCACTTTTAATAAATCTAGGGTGTTCTTAGGAACACAGTGAAAGCAATATATTTAACACACAGGGCCAGATCCTCTGATGTGGCGTGGCTGCTTTGCCTTGCAGTGCTCATGAAACTTTATTTATTTATTTATTTATTTGTATTACCAAAGTGCCCAAGAACCCTAGTCATGGACAAGGACTCCATTGTGCTAGGCTTGTACAAACTCAGAGCAAAAATCAAGCTGAGGAGCTGATGGATCCAACACTGGAAGGAAGACCTCAGTACAAGAGAGATCCTCTGATGGCCGAGAACCCACATAGAAGCTCTTGTGCCACTCCCCATCCCTGCTGCTGGCACAGTTTCTCCATCATGCACTGATCTCCAACAAAGAGAAGTTAAATTCCGAAATTCAAGAACCAATTTAACAGCAAAGCCAGGAACAGAACACAGCTTTTCTCGCTGAAAGTCTTGTGCTCTACCACAGTACTGAAACACAACCGCTGATTTTAAATCGTAGTTCCTGTGTTTCAATTAAAAAGCTCGCCAATTCAGTAACGGTACTGTGCTTTTGCTGCCATCTGTTGTTGAATTTTAGTATTTCTAAAAGCTCTACACAGTTTGTCATTATACCTTTCTTGATAGAAAACATGCAGTTTGTAATATAATGCACAACTGCCGCAGTGAAATGATATTCATTTAAGGGTTTAATTTACAGTATTCCTATTAATGTCTTTGTATAACCTGACTGCCTTTCAGACCAGCTCCAACCTAGACATTCCCCTCCACCCCCATTCCTTGTTGGCTCATCTATTATTGTAAACTCTTTGGGGGCGGGAACTGTCTCACATGATGTGTTTGTACAGTACCAAGGGACTGGATCCCTGATCACAATTGCGGCCACTAGGTGCTACTGGGGTACAAAGTAATAGATGTTCCTTTATTGGCAAAAGGCGGCAAGGACCATTGTCAGTCTTTCTAACCTTCTGTGCTGTGAGAGATTTGCCCTTTCCAAGAACACCTACGCTCATTTGTCAACTGAGTTTTTTCCAACTTGATGACTTAGAACAACTCTGGGTGGTGTGGTTTCAAAATGCAGATAATAAGGCAGATCTCTGGGTTTGGGGGGGGGGTGGATTAACAGTTCTAATGCTGAGCTTTGCCCCACTTTTGCTCAGCTAACGGTTATCCCTTTGAGTACTAAATGTATCAGCTGGGGAATTTTAGAAGCAGCATATGCCTTAACTTTATCAACCTTTAATTCAAAGATTCATGGAGTTTAAGGCCAGAAGAGACAATTAGATCATCTAGCCTGACCTGTATATCATAGACCATGAAATTTCATCCAATTGCCCCTGTACTGTGTTTGAATAAAGCATAACTTGTGCTTGGCTAAAATTTATCTTCCAGAAAGGCATCTGGTTTTGATTTGAAGACATCAAGAGATGGATAATCCAGCACCTACTGGGGGAGTTTGTTCCAGTGGTTAATCCCCTTTACTGTTAAAAATGTATGCCTCTTTTCTAATTTGAATGTGTCTGGTTTCAACATCTAGCCATTGGTTTTTGTTATGTCTTTCTCTGCTAGTGTAAAAAGACCTTTAGTACTATTATCTCCTCCCTCCCCCCGCCCAAAAAGATACTTTATACAGTATAGTCAACTAATCTCTCAGTCTTCTTTTTGATAAATTAACCAAATTGGGATCTTTAAGTCTCTCATTGTAAGGCATCTTCTCCATTCTCAAATCATTTATGTGGCTCTTTCCTTCACTCTGTCAACATCCTTTTTAAAATGCTGACACCAAAACTGGACGCAGTAATTCCAGAATCTGTCTCCCCAGTGCCATATGCAGAGGTAAAATCATTTTCAGCTGTTTGTCCATTATGACCCCTAAATTCTTTTTGGAGTTACTGTTTTCCAGGACACAGTCCTCCATTCTGTAGGTATTCTTTGTTCCTATATATCTAACTTGACTATATTAAAATACATTTTGTTTGACTGGCTTACCAAGCAATCCAGCTCTCTCTCTATATGACTGCCTGGTCCTCCTCATTATTTACCACTCTGCCAATCTTTGTATCATCTGCAAATTTATCAGCAGTGACTTTATATTTATTTCCAGATCACTGATGAAAATATTCGTTAGCATTAGGTTTAGTACTGATCCCTGTGGAACCCCCTAGAAACACCCTCTTTCAATGAAGATTCCCCACCAACAAACTACTTTTTGAAATGTGTCAGTTATCCAGTTCTTAATCCATTTAATGTGTGCTTTATTGATATTGCATAATGTTTTTTATTAGCATATCAGCTGTACTGAGTCAAATACCTTTCAAAACTCTACATATATCACATCTGCAGTTATTTTTAATCAACCAAATTTGTAATCTCATCAAAGAATAAAAGCTGTATTTTCCATAAAGCCGCATTGACTGGCCTTAATTATATTACTATCCTTTACTTCTTTACTGGTTGAATCCTGTATCAGCTTTTCCATTATTTTGCCTGGGATTGATCTCAGGTGAACCTGCCTATAGTTACCGGGGTCATCCCACTTGCCCTATTCGAATATTGGCATGACATTAAAACTCTTCCAGTCTTTTGGAAATTCCCTGGTATTCCAAGATTTATTAAAAATTAACATTAGGGGGCCAAAGATCACCTCAGCCAATTATTTTAGGATTGTTAGGTGCAAGTTCATTTAAGATGGAAGTTTATATATAAAATAACATCTGCCTACCCCCCTCCCAGCTCCCACCACAACTTCCTAATCAGAACCAAGATACACAGGAAAACTAAAAAGTTTGTAGGAGATGTTTCTCCTTTTTAAATACAGGGAATTATGTTCACAAATTCCCATGCCTCAAAATGAAAATGAATCCTCTAGCTGGGGCCATTAGGATAGAAGAGCTCTTGTAGGATCAAAAATATCCAGAGCGTCAAAAGGAAAATAGGAGAATTGCCTGGACAGAGTGAAATGAGAAGGCATTTAAAACCACAGGAAATCACCTTAGCACCACTTTGTCTCTGTGGGAATGTAGACACACCTTCTCTTAGGTTAAAGCCTGTAATTCCTTTACATTCCTGGTAGAGGTAGTAACCAAGAACTCTACCCAGGAAAAAGTATGATACTACAGTTAATGGTTTAAGAGTGCACTTTGAAAAGCATTTAAAAATAGGTTGAAGTTTCCAGGTAGATCTGATTGCCTTCTAGCTTGACTGCTGCTGTGCCAATGGTCTCTGCATATTTCACTAACTTTAGCTTCACTTTGAACTTTTATAACTTATAAAATTCTCAATGGCCTATTATGTGAACACTATCTTTCAGAGAAGCAAGGAGCTCTGTCAATCATTCCACTTGCAATATCCCATGCAAGGGCAGATACCATTGCAATCCCTACATGCAAAGGGCTTAAGACTGCTCTGTCCATGCACCCTCAGAGGTGCAAATCATTACAAAGGAGGTGGGGGAAGAAGCTGAGAGAGTGTCTCCTAAGCTACAAAAACTTCCTTCATCTTTTGAGCTCCCTCATGGAGGATGGAAGTTTTTGGTAGTTATCTCAATCAGAGGTGTGTACTGGGAAGGTAAAGAATTGTGCAGGTTTCCCCCCCACCCCCAATATTTTCCTATCCTACTCTTAAATTAAGGGGTGCTGTACTGGGAAAGCGCTGAACTTGATTTATAGACACTGGGGTGTCTGCAGAGAAACGATTCAGATTTAAAGAAAGCTCGTTTCTATGCCCAAACTTTGCACATACTTTCTGTTCTTCCCAGACATGTAGTTTCCATAAGGAAGCTGCGATTTGAGAATTATTCACAATTCTTATTTCACGAAGAATTTCAAATAAGAGGGGGAAGTAAACATATCACTACACACACAACATAGCGTAACTCACAATCACAGGCTCTGATGCATGTCATTCTTTATTCCTTATTCCCAGCAGATTTGCTTATATTCTATTTAGTGGGAATGGTCAGTAGAATATCATTTTCCATTTATTTTAATGGCTCTTTTGATGCATTATTAATATGCAACATAATGATAAATAATTGCACACTGACATTATATCACATTAGGTTTTCAATGGGGTTTAGGCATAAAGAATGAATTACAGCTACCCAGGGAAACCTGTAACAAAATACATTGTTCTACTTTGCTTAATATTGAATTGTTCAGAGAGGGAAACAGGTATAACATGCTGGTTTGCTCAACTCAGACCCCTTTCAAAGGCACAATCTGAGCACCTCAAAAACACAAACAACAACAGAAAAGGCAAACAGTTCAGGTTAGAGAATAAAGAACTCACATGGGAGATAACTGTTAAAACTAGATTCTATTGATTGTGATATATTAAGAACAGCTGTATTATTCAGGTCAGATTAAAGTGCTACACAGATTTAAAGAAGGGACTGACTGTTAGGTTTAGCAAGTGATTACACTGAGAGGGGAATTTGCAAAATTGAGACATTGAGCTGGATTCTCCTCCTCC